AATGAATTGTTTTGACCAACCCATCTCTGTAGAGCACGCCACGAATTTAACTTCTTCTGAAGTCGTAGAGGTTTCAAATATGTGATTTAAATGAACCTCGATCATCGAACTTTGCCAGCGATGCTTCTGGTGATTCACTCTTCAGGGGTAGATTAACTGTCTTCTGCACACTCACAGTCATATGGTCTAGAAATCCGCAGTACAATCTTCGAATGTGAGACTGTGTCTCATGCAGGCGACTATCTGGAAGAATGTGCTATGTTGTGAGTTCTCCATTCGGCCTTCTACGTTTCGTTCTCCTTTACGAACGAGAAAACCTTGCGTCTGACCTACCGTTTCCACGTCCACCATCTTTTTTTCTGGAGTGACTTTTCCGTTTCGTTGTGACATTGTGTTTGCCGATTCCCTCGGTTAAGATAATTCAAATCACTGTCAGAGGAATGCTAGTCGTTTTTAGAGCGAGGTAAGTTTGGCGTACCAAGGGTAGCAGGTAGGAGGTAAATCTGGACGCTTATGTCTGAATCACTCCAGTCGCGTCTGCTTTTTCACGGTACGTGACAATAATGGATCGCGTGGGTGATGAACATTGTTCATTACAGACTATTTGGTATCAGAAATGACGTCTCGGCCTAAAAACGGATTCATTTTGGCTGGATCATGGCGTCAGCGCTTTGACGGAGTCGTCCGATATTTTTTGCGCATTTGTTACCTGAAGCACGAAACTGGTGTAGTGGCAAGCTAACCACGCGCACGGTCCGGAAATCAAATAATGGTTTTCATGCCGTAGTCAGCCAAGCCTTCCATACGAACGGCGTTGGTAACAGACTCGTTCGGGAGTGAATCCACTGGCTTGTAGATCGACTTGCCCTGCAAATTAATGTATAGGCCAAATCGCATTAAAAATGCCACTGTGATTTCCATTGGAGGCCGATGTCAGACTTTGCGAATTCGCGGCCAGTGAATCACTCAATTGGCTGGTACCGCAACGCGACCGCGGACGCTAGCGAATCGCGCGAATCGCTAGTAGCGAATCGCGCGATTCGCAAAGTCTGACATCGGCCTAAGAGAGTTCTCGGCGTAT